TGGGTAAACTATTAACTCGGGAATCACGGTAAGATATTCACCCTTCAAAGTTTCGAATTTAGCTTTCATGCGCTGGTGCGTGAAATTTTTAACTGTTTTCCAACGTTTGAACTACTTTTGCATAGACTAAAGTACAAAGCAGTGAAAATCATTGATAGGCAACGATTGTTCGATGGGCTGAATTGCACAAAACGCATGATCGCACCGGCTAGACTGGTGCGCGTTGCTATTTATTTCGTCTTTCGAACGTTACAGCTTCCAGTGCGTGTTAAGGTACTTCTTAGGGGCTAAAAATTGCTTGTTTTTTGTTGCGCATTAAAAGTAAAATACAAATTATATTTGCATCAAATACTTCTTTATGCCTCAAAAAAAGGACTGCGGGAAAAATTCGCGGCAAGCAGTAGTTCTACCAGAATTTATCCTTTTTTTGGCGTGAATTAAGAGAGTTGGAGGTGTTCTCTTGTTCAAATGTTCTTACGAATTTCAGGTTCTGGAACAGCTGACTGGTCAGACGCCGGTTTTCTCGAAAGCACGTTACACGGTACGATCGTTCGGTATTCGTCGTAATGAGAAGATTGCTGTGCACTGTACAGTGAGAGGCGCAAAAGCTGAAGAAATCATCGACCGTGGCTTAAAGGTTCTTTGTTTTTTTTTCTTTAGAAATAGATCGAAACGCACAAAGAAATCTTTGTTATGCTTGTTTTGCCTCTAAATGTGGTTTCTTTTCGCGAATGAAATCTCCTTCAATATATAAGCTATGGGCTACTTCACCTAGCTACGCTACTGTTACGTGTTGCTTGGTCGGCGATGATGTTTGGGCGACAAAACAGACGAGGCTGGCTCTTCTTATCGAAGATACGCAGGGCTAACCAAAAACACAACTTTATCAACACACAATAAAAATACAGTCGAAATTCTGGACGATTGGATTAGGGGGCGACACGCAGCATCACGGCTGTACACGAAGAATACGTTGAAACACACTACTGAACTTTAACACCAAAAATCACTTGTTATGCGTTTTGTACTGTGTAACAGCAGTACAAAACGCATATTGTCACGTTGCTTGTCTGTGTGTGTGTGTGTGTCCGCAGCAACTTGTCCGCAACTTTTAACTTGGGAACCACAGAAGCTAGGAAGCTGAAAATTTAGGGTAACGTCCCCCACCCACGTGTGACCCCGCA